ATGCTTTCTCTTCTTAGTGTCCAAAAAACATACGACCTTTGGAGTCACAGTTTTGCATATGCCTTACTTATGAAGAAAAAAACTAACCCACATAGCTAGGCCACACAGAAGATCATGAAAATACACTGAAGGCATTTTGTAAAGTACTGGAACAATGGTGAAGGGAATAACAAGACAAGAGCTTTAAGCAGTGGCAGAGGCCAACATGATGAGACCATTTTGTAGAGGGTATATACACCACACACACAAAAAAAGAAGATTGGCAGGGGCTGGGGATGTGGTAGTGCTAATGCTTGCTTAGCAAGCATGAAGCCCTGGGTTTGACTCCTCAGTACCACAAAAACAGAAAAAGCCTAAAGTGGTGCTGTGGTTCAAGTGTAGAGTGCTAGCCTTGAGCAAAAGAAGATCAGGGACAGCATCTAGTCACTGAGTTCAAGCCCCAGGACTGGCCAAAAACCTAAAGAATGACAGGAGATTAAGTTGGGTTGGGGAGGCAGGTATCAGAGGAAGTGGGAGGGCCAACAGAGAGGGTGTGTGGGGTGAACAGTGTCAGTATGATCAAAATAGTTTATTTGTAAGAAAAAGGAATAATGGAGCAAGTAGATATGGTAGACTGTAAACATGTATGAAAAGGTCACAATAAAATCCCCACTGCATAACAAATGTATGTTAATTTAAAACCCTCAAAATAAATACATAAATAAGTAAGTACAGATTGAGACAGGCAGAAGACCTTAAGGGACCTCACTCTAAGTGAAGCACTTTGGACTTTCAGGCATTGTTGAGGGAATTTAAGCAGCAGAATATCAGGATCAAAAGAGGAGATTTTTGAACCATAAAAGTACTGGAAACACAGATGCTTGTTAGGGAGGACCTGATTGTGATGATTGGGGCTGACTTTCGGATGTCACAGTGAGCAAAAGCAGAGGTAGATGCAGAAAAACCTTAACATGGAACAGGTTCAAAGACCTCTGCCAAGTGACTAAGCACTGACTAATATTGGAGGAGTGCAAAGAAAAATAGAAAGTGAGAGGGAGGAATATGAAATCATTTCCAGGGCAACAGAGAGAATGATGGCGCCATTAATAGAAACAGAGGTGTAACTGACAGAGTGAAAAAGGACTTAGTTTTAGTCAAGAGAACAGAAGCATCCACAAGCCATTAAAGTATCAAGTTGGAGCTCCACTTTTATATCTGAGATACATCAGGACAGAGCTTTTAGCCAATAAAAAACCCTTCTGAGTGTTGCCAGGTTAGGAGTGAGAACCACAAAGGAGATAGAAGGACCTTCAGTTTCTAAGACACGCAACCTATCTTTAGGGTCACAGGAACACATAACAAGCATAAAGAGTGAGGAAGAAGACAATATTCTTAAACCAGTGATGTGTGTATATCTACACAGAAAGATTGATTATATGGATAAAGATATAGATCTATATGTGATAAGAATCATCTATCGTGGTAGTAGGAGAATACATAAGCAAATTGCTTACTCTATCCTTAAAAATTAAATATTTGCTAGGCACTAGGGGTTCACACCTTTAATCCTAACTACTCGGGAAGCTGAGACAAAGATTGAAGTTCAATCAGCCAGCCCAAGTAGGAAAGTCTGTGAGACTTGAATCTCTGATTAACCACACATAGCTCCCCCTGAAACCCCTGGCCAAAAAAAAAAAAACAAACCTGAGAGTCTAGCTGTGGCTCAAGTGATAGAGTGTTAGCCTTAAGTGAAAACAGTAAAGGACAGTGTCCATGCCCTGAGTTCAAGTCGAGGACTGGCACCAAAAAAATTAAATATCTGAAAAGGAGTAGGAAAGTAATTGATGGAATACATTTGATCAAAATACCTTATATGTATGTATGTATGCAAACCTCTCTGAACAATAAATATCTAACTTCTCAAACAAACAAAAATTAATATTTGGGGAAAAAAACCTGGAGATGTAACTCAGTTTACATGGCACATGTGGAACCCTGGATTTGGGCCTCAGAACAATCTACACATAGACAAAAATCAATAGTCAACTTGTTTAATTTCTTTAATTGTTATCCACCAGAAAAAGGAGGCTTGTTCTTGACCTTCATAAGATCTTTATATTAGTTTAACAATACAGTTAATAATAAGCTAATGGTTATAGGGAGGAAAAGAAGTGCTATGCTAACTTTTATTTTTAATAATTTTTAATCACTCATTTTGTGAATTTCTAATTCAAATCTAAGATTCATTCCCAGAGCAGTATCTTGAGTAGCCACCATAATACTTTCATTTAGTCTTTCATTTTTTCCCTCTCTTTAGTAAATGCTCATCTATTAATGTCCACAATAATATGCAGCTAATTCAATAATAATTTTCAAAAATGAGAAAACAATGTATAGAGCAGTTCTGCAGCTTGCCTAGGTTATCTAGGCACTTTATACTTCAGAACCATCATTGCTGCTCCTCAATAATCCTCTTTCCCTCAATGAAAAACTTAAGTTAGCAAACACTGTCTTATCGTGTATATTTTTTCCTTTAGAAGTTTATGATAACACCAAAAGATGACAAGAAATCCAAATAAGATCCTAAATGACATTCCATGTACCTTGGGTTCCAATTAAGTTTCATAGTTTAATTTTTACAATATTAAGTATAATTTGGCATTAATATTTGTTTAATGTGAAGAAGTCAGTAAGTAGAAACCCTTAGCATTATAGGAAATCAAAGCCAAGTTTTGCCTTACCATTTCAGACACATGGTGAAGTCATATAACATAAACACATATGCAGGCATGACATCATAGTATAATGATCATAATGACTGGCCAAAGATCAATCATAGCTTTTGTGAGAACAAGAGGAAATATCATCAATGTTCAACAGAACTGTATTTTTCCTAGCTGGTTAAAAAATATGCTTAAGTTTCACACATCTTTCCACAAAATTCAGAGGTTTGCCACAGAAATAACAGAAAAGTACAACTATCAACTTTGAAACATGTTAATGGCAATGTACTCTCAATGATAATTTTTTGTACAAATTAAATCTAAAAGGGCACCCTTGGAAGTGACTACAATGCTGTAAAGATTTTCTTTGAATCCTTGAAAGTATCTGAAAAGTTTTGTTTTGTTTTTTGCTGGTCCTGGGGCTTGAGCTCTGGGACTGCGTGCTGTCCCTGAGCTCCTTTTGCTCAAGGATAGCACTCTCTCACATGAGCTACAGTGTCATCTCTGGCTTTTTTGATGCTTCACTGGATGTAAGAGTCTCAGACTTCCCTGCCCACGCTGGCTTCAATCCCTAAGCCTCAGATCTGAGCCTCCTGAGTAGCTAGGATTACAGGCATGAGCCACCAGCTCCCAGAGAAAGTAAATTTTTAAATAGCAAGGCTGATGAAAATGATCAACAGAAGGTCTGGGAGTGTGGCTCAGTGATTGGGGGCAATCTTAAAACACAAGAATCCTCAGGGTGGGGTCCAATCCCAAACACCATCTCCACCCCCAAACTGAATTTGAATGTGAAGGTAGTAAACGCTTCCTAAGGTTAATGACTGCTTTATTAAGTAATTGTACGAGGCAGTTTCAATTAAAAGCGTCAGGTTATAAGTGCAGTGCATCTTGATCAAGGTCACCCCTTCCATCATCTCCCCCATTTTTCCCTATTGTATCCTACAGTTACTGATCTTGAAAGTCATTTTGGAAAACTCTGTGCCCAGGCCTCACAGGAAACACTGTAACTGGAAGTCACAAACAAAGCTGAGCTTGCTACACAGAGCACTGGGCAGGTTCCACTGCGGGCCACCATCTGTGTATATTGCTGCAAGGTTTGTTACCAAATGAATGATTCAGCCACATTCAGAAACACACTGAAAATAAATTTAGACCACCATCAAATTATGCACTTATGGTGGGGGGTAGGAACCAACGGTCCTGTGCAATTACTAACCATCAAAAGTATCCCGCAATCCTCCCCCAAAAAAGGGGGTTGGGGGGGGGAGAGGAAGCTTACAGAGAAAATTCAGCAACAAAGCCTAACTTGTCACAACTTTGTGAAAACTTAGGACTGAAGGAACAACGTCGTCCCTCTTGAAAACAAGAATGAAACTCATAAAGCATCCAGTGAACACCCATTAACTCAGAATTCCTAACGCTAGCGTGAGGGGGAGGGGGAGAGGCGGGAGAATGACGTCAGCCTTCCGCCAAGTCCAAGACAACTTTCAATCCAATAACCACGGGAACTGTGACAAACCCTGACGACCCCTGCAACGCAGGTCGTTGGCCATCTGAAAGTACAAGATCCAGACGCCGCAGTATTCAAGTGTCCCGCAGAAAACGAAACCTCAGCAAACACCCTTCCCGGCTCCTTTGGGAACAATGACCTAAATCGTGCATCTCTATAAAAAGAGCAGATGACACACCGCATTCAACAGCTTAAAAGTTCTCCCAGTCCCAAAGATAAGGCACAATAAATAAATGCAAGGCAATAACATGGTCACTTTCAGTCATCAGGGTGTCTGGAAAAGCAGTGAGAAGAAACAGAAATCAGTCTGGGAGGCGAGTGGGGGAGGGCTTGTTTGGGGAGGTGGAGGCGGGGGCCCGGGGCGGGGGGGGGGGGGGGGGGAATGAACATTAAGGGCGTGAAGCAGAGCGGGGCTACTGAATAGGCTGCCTGGTACGAGAGGAAACATTTGGAGAAGAAATCAACCAAGTTCTCCCAGAGATAGAGGCCGCGATGGGTCTCAGCCCCGACTGAACTCTCAGTCTAAGCAAAGAAGGTCTGATGAAAACCTGGGTCTCTCCCTCGACCCCAGGCAGTTTAAGGAGACGGGCAGAACTGAGTGTTGAGTGCCTAGACCGAGAGTCCATCATCATTCTCGCCCCCTGCCCCAAATATTCCATCCATCCAGGACCCAGCCACCCTTGGGGTGGGGGAGAGGGGCGGGGGGGGGGGAGAAGACAAGCAAACTCTGAGCTCTCGGGACAGAGAAGTGGGGTGGGGGCGCGGTGATGGGGGAGGGGGTCACTTACTTAGAAGCACTGGGCGCGAAGAAATCCACCGCGAAGCCGAAGTAACTTCCCTCGGGGCCAGAGTACTCGGCAGGACTGTCCACGTCTAGGTTGAAGGCTCCACCGAGAGGCAGCAGGAGCCCGGGAAGAAGGAGCAGGAGGCAGCCGGGGCGAACATGCAGCGGGCGCCGCAGCGGAGCAGCCATCGCCGAAGCGCGCGGGACGCGGAGCGCTTAGGCGACCTCCCTCTCCCGGGGCGCACTGGTGCCCGCGGCCCGCCGCCTGCGCGCCCGAACCGGCCGGCCACTGGCTTCCCCGAGAGCCCGAGACCGAGTTGGGAAGTCAGGAGGGCTGAGCAGCTCGGCGGCCGCCCCGGAACGTGGAGCGCCGTGCGCGCGGGGGCGGGGACGGCCAACCCCGGGCCTCTCGCCTGGAGGCGGCTGGTGACTGAGCGCTGGGACCCGCGATCCGAGACTGCCGAGGCGAGCGAGTCGAGCCAGCGCCGCACCTCGGCCTGAGAGCAGCCCAGGACGGGGGGGAGGAGGCAGGGCGGGAGGAGGAGCCGCGCCCCAGAAGCTGAGCGGACGTGCGGGAGGAGGAAGTGGGGGCCGAGCCGATCTCCGACTGGAGAAAGCCGAGCGCACTTCCGTGCGCGCGGTCGCCGCCTGTCCTGTGGAGCTCGAGCTGGATTCTGGTGCCCAGAGCTTCAGGGCCCGGGTCAGGGGTAGCGGTCCTAGATCTGAGTCCCAGACCTGCACTTTGCAAACTCGAGATAAGCAGTGATTGGAAGCCGCAACCCCACCCTTTGTTCATGAGAGTGGCTGCAGCCCCCAGGTCCCCTGGTCCCGCCGGCAAACACACCGTGTACTTTTGTTTAAGAATGCGGAAAGCTTCATCCGCTGCTCCTGTTTCTGCTACTTAGCCTGGCAGGCGCTCACCCACGGAACTCTATCATTATTTGTCCTTCCTCCCCTCCAATCCTATCCCCCACACAAAACCCTGAGCTTAATTATAAACTTCCAGAAGGCGAGCCAGCCTCTCCCAGATGAGGTGGGTTACTATTGAACTTGGGTGGTTGAAAAAAAAAGCAAGCAAACGTCCTTCAGTAAAAAAGAATTGGTAAAACTTTCATAAATCAACTCAGAAAAGTACTGTTTTGTTTTGTTTTTAGTCTGAGTTGTTTAACTGTGGAAAACTGATTCGTTGGTGTAGTCCTGATGTTAGAACTGGAAGAAATAAGGCTCTTGTAGGTCACTTGCTCTTAACAGCACCAGACTGAGAGGCATCCAGTAAATTGATCTGTCTCTACTTTGTATTTCCAGTGTCAAGCAGATGACAAAATTAATCAGTAAAATGGTGGGTCAGTGAAGTATGTATAGCACAGAAATTAAAACTCAATTTTTTTTCAGAAGTCACTTTCCTATGCTGTGTATTTTATGCTAAAGAATTTGGGGAAGATAAAATATAAACACATTCCAATACTTGCAAGTACTGGAAAATAAATTTGGTCTTTTTTTCCCAAAGCTACTAAAATCTCAGTCACAGACCAGGCATGATGATGTGGAACACACCTATAATTCCAGCAATTGGGGAGGTTGAAATGGTAAAACTTTTCAGCCCAGTTCAAGACCAGCATAGGCAACAAAGGGAGACATCTGTCTCCCTAAAAACATGAAACGTGAACAAATATGTACATAAATTGAAATCAAATGTCTGCTTAGAAGTCAGAATTCTTGCATTTTGGTTTTCCAATTACATTAAAAGATAGGCAGCAACATGTCTGGAATTTTTTTTTTTTTTTTGACGGTCGTGGGGCCTGAACTCTGGGCCTGAGTGCTGTCCCTCAGCTCTTCAGCTCAAGGCTAGCTCTCTACCACTTGAGCCACAACACCACTTCTGGATTTTTTTTTTTTTTTTTTGCTTATGTGGTGCTGAAGAATCAAACCCAGGGCCTCATGCATGCAAGGCAAGCGCTCTACCACTGAGCCACCTTCCCAGCCCCATCTGGAATGTTTTATAAGCCATGATCCAACATCTTCAGCAAAATTGCCAAGGGCGACAGATTATCATATGTGAATATTTACATATAAATGTGCCACTGCTTTGGAATTTTCCCAATAGGCCATGGGTATGTATGTATTCCCAAAGTACTTAATATGTTGAAAACCTGAGAACCAATCCAACTGGAGTCCATCCGGAGAAGGAGAAAGACTGAAGTTATCCCTACAATCAATAAACCTCCTACTTGGAGGTCTTGATTCTGAAACAGAAGTCAAATAGGTCCAAGGAAATGAAGAAAGAAATACCAGGGGCAGGGAAAGGCAGAATCCAAAGGAACGGTAGCACATTGAGCTCAACTAAGCCTGAGTGAACAAGACATCCCAACATGGGCCCACAATCTGTTACTAAAGCACTTTCTCCTTTATGTCTTTATTTCCAATGAGCAGTCTTGCAAATCAAGGAATTTGTTTTAAAAAAACAAACACACATGCATTTCTATTAGGAAATCATGGAGCAGAGTAACCCAGAGTCTTAAGGAATTGGGGGATATAAATGCAAAGTTCTCTGTGTGACCATGCTTGAGCAGCTATCCATAGTGCCATGCAAATTGCATTACAGAGCGTATCCACTTGGCCAGTGCTTACGCAGACTCCACATTGTGCAGGGTGCTTTATACTTGGGAGTGGGAAAAAGCACGTTTTATTCCAGTGGAGAAAGGCAGTGCCTGCCCTTCCTTGCCCCAAGCACTTCTCTTTAGGTATAACAGTTTCCTAACTGCCTGAAATATTGAAGTTAAGCATAATCCCTGTTTCACAAGGAAAATATAATAATAGTTGGTCAAAAGAAGTTTGAATTTGAATGTTACCCACTACACTCCTCTGTCCTTTTGTTAACACACTGAACTCTGGTTTCTACACCTTTAAGTGTCTAAGTTCAATTCCTGCCTTCACAAAGTTCTAGTTGAGTAACTCTAGGAACATCAACCCAGCTACCTTGTGCTTCTGTTTTCTTATCTGCAAAATGGATATAAGCATAGTACTTGTCTCACAGAACTGAAAAAAAAAAAAAAAACCTGTTGCTATTAATACTTACTTCTATTAGTGTAGCACAGAAGTAAAAGTATATCTGGATGGCAGTTAGTACAGTTGACCAGGTCTACTTATCCAACAGTTCATTGATAACCAAAATCAAATCAGTGTTCAATTTTACTTTGTCTGTTTACAAGGGAACTTAGTTCAAGCAGGCCAAAATATTTTAAGGGTAATTTTACTTTATTTCTCTCTTAAAGAACAAGGAGAGGGAAGGGGATACCAGTGTATGGCTGAGGAATAAGGTGCTTGCCTTGCAAACATGAAGTCCTGAGTTCAATCTCAAAGAGGAGAAGAGAGACAAGAGGAACGGTCTAGAGGAGAGGAGAGAATTCAGTCCATAACTCAAAAGAAAAAAAAAAAACTAGTAAAATCCACTTCTAACAAACTCCATTCCTCTAGAGCCTTCAATCCCCTGAACCAGATGATCCTAGGGTTTTCATGCTGTTTTTGTTTGTCTAACTTTCTCTAGTCTCTCCTCTGCTGTTTACTAGAGATTGACTTGATCTCTCTTGTTTCTTACCCCTACCTCATGCTTCATTTTCCTATTCGATAAGTATCGATAGGCAGAACCACCGTGAGAAAGAAAAGAATGCAGGCAGGTAACTCATCTCCTTTCTAGGCTCTTTTCTGAACTATACCATTCAGTACCAAAGATCTCTGAGTCTCTGTCCTTCATTCACTGCATTTTGTTTCTCATTGTAAACATCCCCAGGGGAGCTTATTCATTCCAACCCACAGAGGAACTTTAGCAATATTACATTACTATTTCCCTAGTATATTGTCTTTCTCATGGAACTCCATCCTTCTGAAAAACATTAGTCTTCCTCCTTCCGCATTCCCATAGCCCCCATCCTCCTGTCAAGTACAAATCTGGCTCGGTCCTGTTCTTTCAAGATCCGCATAACCTTCATGCCCTCCAGGAAGCCCTGCTCTCAATAACTGTTGAGACAAGCAGACAAAACAGGATCCCTGGTTGCTTTAGCCCTCAAATCTGCCTCTGTCTGAAAAGTGCCTCGAGACCTCTTCTAACCTCTGGCCTCATGCCCATCAAAGTGTACTGATAAAAAACGTCCTGTAGGCCAACAACAAAGCAAGCCACGTCTCAATAACAAGGATGCTTGCCCAGCAAAATAAAATTCCCCTTGATTGCACATATGCAATACTGCTGTCCTTGAGTAAACTTTTGAGAGTGACCCTTAATTAAGGCTTTATATTTATCATTAATATAACTATAACAGTGCATTATGGGAATGTGTTGCAATTTAAAAGCCTGTTATATAACCACCACTTATTACTTGAAACTGTTCATTACAAAGGACCCCCATACACAGAGATCAAACCACCCTCAATTGTCAAAGACACTATTCCTCAGGGCTTGGGGTCTCTTAATCAGACATTCTTTCCATCCATAGATTTTGAAAAATTAGCTTCAAACTTAAGAAGTTTTAGATAAGTATCAGGGCTATGTAGAATTATATTAGTTCCCTTGTTTAAAGTTCAACACATACCTTGAATACCTGGAATGAAGGTAATAACTCAATAAGTACTTTTAATAATAAGTACTCCATAAGTACTCAATAAAGAGTAACTAAAATGTACTTTTCAAGAAATAAAAAAGCCCAGGAGTATCTAGCGGATTCATTATATAGCTAGAGAAGATATGTGGTAATACTCCCAGTTTCAATGATAAAAGTGCATCTTCGATTCTGTAGCTGTTTTATTGTTTTAAACACTTCATTGCAATTTAGGATTATAGTATGGGGTATAAAAGAGACAAAATTAATCAAAAATACCAAGAACGTGATATACACTACCTCTGCCTGTCACTGAGGAAACAATATGCTCTCAAGATAGGCATTCTCAATTTTGAGCATGTGCTTGGTGGTTTTCAAAATTCCCTTTAAATTATTAACATGTAAAATTTCTAAAGAGGCTCATGTACCTTACCATATTGAACTAAAAAATAATTACAACATCTGTTTGCATTACAGCAGCTTAAGGATATGTTATTTGCTTTAAAAACTTCAGTAGTATGTGGAACCCTCTGATAGATGTTAAATAAATCTAATTTCTTACTACAACACTGTCATACAGAAAGATCCAAGACTGGAGGAATATGTTATTTAAGTCACTCTTGTATTACTGAAAAATTAGTGGCTTAAAGAAAACATAACTTTTATGGTATTTTAGACTTGAGTTAACACAATTACTTTTCTTTGTGGGATGGAGTCTCACTATGTAGCTCAGGCTGACCTCAGATTTGAGATTCTATTGCTAAAGTCTCAAAAGTTCTAGGATTTCACACATGTACTACTATGCACTTAAATTGTTTTTTAATGCAGCAAAAGAACAGAGAAATCCAGGTTTGGTGTCCCTTTCCTGAAATCCCA